CCTTGCTAAAAAAACTAATCCTAACTTAACCGATCTATTAAAATATAATAAACCGTACAATGTACAAAATATACCGTATACTATGTACAAAAAATATCGCAAACAATACCTGCATCTCTATTCTTATATTGTCTTCCATTGACAAATTATGTAAATGTATGTATTATGTTATGTATTATTAAAACGTAAAAGTTTGATTACGTATATATATATGTATGGTTACCATATTTTAATAGATAAGTTAGGTTAGTTAAGTAAGGTTGGTTTTTTTAAAGAGGGAGTGCAGCAGGAGAGGCTTCGTCCCTTTCTCGGCATATACAGGTTGTCCTGTCACTACCGCATTATCTCTTAAGGGCGGATTCTTGAAGTAATTTGAGTAAAAAAATCCTAATACAAAAATGGCGAGGCTATAATACTTTTCAAATTATAAACATATAAACATATAAACCTAACGATTAAAGTTAACCAATTATATTGGTTACGCGCGTTCAGGTACGATACAACACACAATGGTACAGGTGTATGCATATGTCGTCCTTTTTCCAAATATTGATACGGAAATTCTATACATACAACAATATATGTAATAATAATCTGCCTTTTCTATCATTTAAATAAATATATCGCAAATAATAACAATTTCGTCAAAATGTTATGAATAAAATATCACACAATACATTTATGAGAATCAGTAAGCTGTCACACATTTGACGTTTCTTTCGGGGATTTACAACTAATTTCATATCTTATGCAAATTCTCACTTATGTGTATGCATCTGTACCATTGTGTGTTGTACCGTACCTGAGCGCGCGTACTTTAGCCAATATAATTGGTCAACTTTAATCGTTTATAATTTGAAAAGTATTATAGCCTCGACATTTTTGCATTAGGATTTTTTTCTTCAAATTACCTTAGGAATCCGTACTTAAGAGATAATGCGGTAGTAGCGGGACACCCTGTATACTATTTTACATACATACTTCGATTTAATAGTAATTGAGTATTATACTTAATATTAGATTAAAGTTTCAATATTTATATATATTAATAGAAAAAATGTATATTAAGAAATTTATTCTACATTCGGATTATCTAATGCAGAGTTCGGCACATTTTGCCCTTTTCGGCCGATTCTCGAGAGCTACGCCTTCTATCTCCCCCTTGCCGCGCGGCGGGCCATGCAAGCGACGGTCGGGTCAGTCGCGGCTCCAAGCTTAGAGGCACGACCGTCACTTGCATGACCCGCCGCGCGGCAAGGGGGAGATAGAAGGCGTAGCTCCCGAAAATCGGCCGAAAAGGGCAAAATGTGCCGAGCCCTGATCTAATGGATACATCGAGTTCATAATTAAAAAAAACTATCAATACGTTTGTACCTACTTACCTATGAAACTTGTTTCATACATAGCTAAACATAGCTTTTTAACAAACAATGACCCAGATAGAACACAAAATTATTTTGATGTCAAGATAATATCATTTTGACATAAAATTGTCATGAAAATGGTATCGTTTGACATCAAAATGACATCATTTTTATGTCATTTTGACTTTTATATGACTTTGTGTTCTACCTGGGTGAGCGACGACTAAAACTTTTTGAATGTTACTCAAAAGGGTCTCTTTGATAATATATATCAAAATCAAGATCATCGGAAGTGGGTCCCCTCCAGTTTTGGTAAAACTCCAGTTTTACCAAAAAATGTTAATATACAATATCTTTTTGCAATTAAAATCATATGTTACTGATTTTATTAATAATTATATATTGAAAAAATATTCTATATGTTAAAAAAATAAATATAATATACAGAAAGGAACTCTTCCCTTTAAACGTTGCATAAGACCTTTGCTAATTAAAAAAAAAAATCTTTTTTTAAACTTAAAATAAATTTTTAAAAGTTTAAAAAATTTTTTTAAAAGTGCAAATAAAATTTTATGAAGCAATTCTCATTTAATGAAATATGTACATTATCCAGAACATCAACCTCTTTAACATAACTCAAGATCAAGATTATTTGACATCTATAATATATTTTGAAAATATCAATTTTAATTATTTTAATGTTATTTCAATTAAATTTTATTACATTAAAAAACGATTAAAAATTATAAAATGATGAAAATATATTAACTTTAGGCGTATTTGTAATAATTTCGCTATATTTCGTGAGAAGATAGACTTTTTCAGAAATATAAGTATTTAACCCGGGAGTGGGCGTGTATCGGTCATTTCCCCGTACTTTTTCGTTTTTTACCTATATCACCTAATCTATTGATATTATCGTATTTTCGCTTTTACGTAAATTTTCTTTGATGTTTTCTCGTATAGAGAAGATATGGAGAAGTAGACGGCGTAGATGCGCTTATTTCTATGTGAAATTTGATACGTTTTTAGCAGTCGGTCTAAAAGACTATAGCGCGCTTACTAACGTTAATCTTTTATCTCTGCCGCGTCAGCGTCGCTCGATGTGTCGCCGAACGTCTTTCCGACATCGTAGTTGGACGGACGGTTCTCTCTTTTTTTGTTGAATCAATAAAATTTTCAACAGCACGCGTAATTGGAGTATATATTTTTTATTTAATAGCGATATTATTAAAATTAATACTTGAATTATTGAAACAATACATAATGTGATAATTTTAATATTGCCATTAAATCAAGAAAATTTATTCTCTATTTCTAAACTTATCAAATAAATTTTTAAGTTTATTAAATCAATGTTTAAGTTAATCAAAGTAAAACGAGGGAAGCAAGAAATTTTTATTTTATTTTATTAAACTAAACTTTATTTTACTTTATTAAACTAAAAAAATGTCATTTTTTACTAATGCAGTTAAAATAAAAATATTATGATTTTATTTTTAATATATTCACATATGTATAATAAGTTTAATATGTTTCCTAAACATATTAGATATAGAAATGGTAAAGAGAAAAAAAGATGGGGAAAAAAAGAGATAGTGACATAATAAAATTATTTCCTTTAATTATTATGTTTCTTTTAATAATTGGATTGATAATTTATTAATTATTACTTAATTATTACACATATATGTGCTTAAATATATTTCGGTCGAAATGACCGATACGCGCCCACTTACGGGTTAAATCTATTAATAACATTTTTAATTTAGTTAATTTTTATTCAATTTGTTCTATATCATAGATATTTCTATACAAGAGGAGTTCCTTCCTTTAAACATTGCATAAGACTCTCTCTTTGCTAATTTTTAAGAAATATCCATTTTTACTATATGGCAGACCCATTAATTTAGAAAGGCAAATGATTAGTTCAAACAATTAAAATCTTGTATAGAAATCTTTATTAACTTAAAAGATTATTTTAAATTGAGACATATTCACGTATACAAAGTATACATATTATGATTAACTTATATTAATCCTTTATATGTAGAACAACGTAACGAAAAACATTCTGTATAGTTGGAACTCATCAAAATTGTGGAATTAAATTATTATAACAAATAATTATTGAATTATTATAACAAAAATAAATTAAAAGCTTCTATATATTCTAGGATGACTTGGGTAAATTTTTTAGTCTCAATGTTAGATTCTTCTCGCATTCTCATCTATTTTTTGAATGCATAGTTATTAATAAAACGCATAACACATCATTCTAATTGCAAAAACACATTACTAATTATTGTAATACAATATTTTTGTAAAAATATTAATATTACTTGAATTATCTTTTACTTGAAAAAAAATAACAGACCTATTATACTTAGTGATTTTAATTAATTTCTCTTTTGTTTCTTACATAAATATTGCTTTAATAGCTTTTTATGTTTTTTCTAAATCCTGTCAAATTCAGGAGCAAATATATTTAAATTATCTGTTTTATAGTAATATTATTCACATAATTTTGGGGAATTTTTATATTCCTATAGTGTGTTTTCTTTTACTTTTGTAAAAAAATTTCATTAGGATAAATAAATCTAAAAGATAGAATACGCTTATTATTATTTTTTATTGTTTTTGTATATTAATGCTAAACTTTCACATATGAACACAGGACAGATATCTATTACCTGATCTGTATTTATATTTGTGTGACATGTAATACAAGAAATTAAGCTTGATGACAATATAATGGATAAATTAAAGATAAAAGAATCAAATTTGGTTTTATTCTTTTCGCTTACTATGCAAAGATGAAAAAATCAAATTTTGTTTTAATCTTTCCGTATACTATGAACTGATTTTACATACAATTAATACTGATTATATATAAAAATAAAGTTACATTCTTATTTCATTTATTATCTAACTTATCAACTTTAATTAAATGTTAAATTTGGTGGTAAAATTGAAATAAGTTCAAGTAAATTAGGTATTTTGTAAATTAGAAATGATTCTTATTCAATTCAAAATGTGTTACATTCTGTGAGTATCAATATCTATAACACTCTTCAATGATATTATTTCATATTCATGGTATGTAAGTTTTTGGAAATGACTATGTTCATTATTTTAATATTTTCCTAGTCAATTTAGCCATACAACCTCCAAATATGTTTACTTAAAAATATTTGAGGTCTGCTTCATAAAATTTTGTAAAAATCAAAATGTTGATTCTTTTTTGGGAATTATATGCATTAAAATAACATTTTACTAAAATTGTATTATGTCAATAATGCAAAAGTTTTATACTGCAAATATGATAAGAAGTTAATTTTGTTTTGAAAGAATATTACATATAAAAAATATATATATTATTGAACACTCTCTATTCATAAATTACAAAACTTTTATATTCTAAATATAAATAATTATAGAATGTATTTTTTAAGTTTTTGTATATATATTATATATGTACAAAGCATATGTCATTTCCCAGCAAACAAGATGATGTCTTAATGATGTATTATTGATATTTCTAATGTCAATAATACATCATTAAGACATCATATGATGTCATCTTGTTTGCTGGATTGTAAGTGTAATAATTATATATACATATATATTACTTACAAATATAATATACTCCATATTTAGGATACCTAAGTTCTTTACAAAGCAGATCAATATTTTCCTTTGTTGGCCTTATAAATACTAGACATGTTAAGTGTTTCAAAGTATCATTATGTAGAGCAGTATCTATCCGTTCAAATAAATATACTTCTTTCATCAATATTTCAGACTGGCTATAAAGTAAGCTGATTATACTCGTCTAAAAATAAAAAAAAGTTAAAATTTTGTGTAAACATAGACAAATTTGATAATAATAAGTTAATTATCAATACACATCATATATACAAAAATAAACACAATATATATACATATAAACCACTTTTACCGTTTGCTTATCCATTAACAAAACTTTCATACCAGGGCCACTGTCTTCTGTCATTTTCGATACATAAAACTTTAAAGCAGTAACAACATTCATTTTTATATTAAAATACTTCAATCATCTGTTTACTCCCGTCACAATTATTTACTGCGTTCCTAAATCATTTATAAAATTACACCAAGCACCGGCAAAAGTGACAAGCAAAACTGAATTCAACTAGAGAGGAGAGACGTCAAAAACAAATTTCAGCTGATTCGCGTATGCGAAGCGCCGTCTATAGAACCATGCATCTAAACAGGAGCGTCCCGATTGACCACAGTACGATTGGACACAACCAACCGATGCAAGGAATTATCTAGTGAATTACCAAGTCGAACCAATCATTACAATCTGAGTTCAATCGTACCGTGGCAATCGGGTCCCACCCCATCTAAACTACGTAGTGAATACGTACGGCTTTTCTCAGTGGGTAAAACGAAAAGCACCTTAAAGGCCAAATCACACTAACGATTGGCGATAGATGATTGACGATTGGAACTTGACCAATTGAAACAAAGCAAGCCAAGAATAATGGCTCCTGCATACAGCACGCGGTAAGGGCTATCGCACACAAATTGACATAACTACATATGCATAGCATAAGATCGTATGGACCAATGAGCATCGAATATTAAGCATCGAACACCAATATGGCGACTTAATACTCGATGCTCATTGGTACATACGGTCTTATGCTATGCATATGCAGTTATGTCAATTTGTGTGCGATAGCCTTAATGCTTGCCGCGCGGCGGAAGTCCGCGCGATAGTCAATCAATATGTTGTTTTTCCGTAAGAGCTAGAAGGTTATTACGGAAAGCAGCATATTGATTGGCTGTCGTGCAAAATTCCGCCGCGCGACAAGCATTACCGCGTCCTGTATGCAGGAGCCATAATCTTAATTGTCAATAGTCAATCGCCAATCGCTAGTGTGATTGGCTCTTAAAGGCGAAATCACACTAGCGATTGGCGATTTATGATTGACAATTAAATATTAGATTTTAACGAATCAACAAGCTTCAGCCTTGGCTTGCTTTGTTCCAATTGGTCAAGTTCTAATCTTTAATCGTCAATCATTTATCGCCAATCGTTAGTGTGATTTAGTCTTTAGGGCCTTTGGGGAACATCCTGATTGGCCACAGTACGATTGGACACAACCAACCGGTGAAAAGAATTATCTAGTGAATTATCAGGTCAAACCAATAATTACAATAGGTGCTTTCCAGTTGCGTACACTGTGTCACACAAAAACAACTTATTGGTTTCATATTATCTTACAAGATATTTTAGATAATATATGACCAATAAACTGGTTTTGTGTACGTGTGTGTCAAGATGTGTTAAGCAATTGGAAAGCACCCAATCTGTGTTCAATCGTATCGTGATCAATCGGGTCCCACCCTATACTATTCACTAGAATGATAATCACTAGAAAATTTCAATCAGCCGTATCCGTTTTTAGCTAATCGTTTTTCATGACTGTTGATTCATCAGGCAAGCGGGAATGTGTCGAAACCATAGACATAATGGTTGCTTTCCAACAAGAGACACAAGTCGACGCAAGTATTATCTTTGAGCGCTTTCCAATTGTTTAACACATCTTGACACATACGTACACAAAATCAGTTTATTGGTCGCATATTACCTAAAATATCTTGTAAGATAATATATAACCAATCAACTGGTTTGTGTAATAAAAAACGTAATTGAAAATTTTTTAATCACTAAATGTGGAACAAAGGGTGTTTCCAATAATACCTCTCCGAATCATTTCTCTAGAGCAGAAATAAATTACAGACATCACCATCTACTGCTATTTTGTGATTCATGATAACCCAAAGCTACCTAATGCTGTTTTACGACTGCAAGCAGTAGATTAGGAAGAAAAATACCGTTACAAATACACGAGATCATTTTGTAAAATTGTATTATTGATTATAAAATTATCTGGTGTTGTTTTCTAATAAAATTTTATTTATTCTGGTTACGCGACAAAATTCATAAAAAGGGAGGGGATAGCGTTGGTACCAGCGAAAACCCCTAGGTAACTCAAATTAAATTTCTGTGGATTAGTAACACTGAATAAGTAGTAATACATGCTGGTCAGCCAAAGCTTTTTTTATAGTGTGTGGCTTATGCGTATTTGACTTTTTGACATAGCGTGTTCGTCGGACATATGCGTTGCGCATATACGTGAAGTAATAAATACCTTATAAATGTACATACGTGTGCACTCTGTGACGTGTTATTGAAATCAAAATAAATAAAACTGCAAGGTGAAAACAATAATAAAAGAAGAAAACTTATAAGTAATTATTTAGTTTAGCGGCCTCACCTCCGATTTCGATGGAAATAGACTCAATCGACGCATTTTTGCATGCCAAATAACTTTTTCCTCTGACAAAATCGTCGTTCTCTACTGCGAAGCGAGATATTAATAGACAAAGTTGTGGACGTGTTAGGTTAGAAAATCTGTTATACCATCTATCTCTAGCTATGTAATTGGGGGCTTCGCCCCCCTATCACGAGGGGTGGGAGCTATAGTCTCTTATGCTTAAGCTAAAGAGTGAATTTCTCACAAAAGACTGTAGCTCCCACCCCACCGTGTTACGGGCGAAGCCCCCCAGTTACATAGCTAGAGATAGATGGTATGACAGATTTTCTAACCTAACATGCCCTCAACTTTGTCTATTAATATCTCGCTTCGCAGTAGAGAGCGACGATTTTGTCAGAGGAAAAAGTTATTTGGCATGCAAAAACGCGTCGATTGAGTCTATTTTCATCGAAATCGGAGGTGAGGCCGCTAAACTAAATAATTACCAACTTATAAAAATAAAAAATGTTTGTTGATAAATAATCCTTATAAGAAATTAATAGTGGTACTGTAATAAATTGACGAGTGACAAATTACTCTTGCGCCTTGTAACTTTATTACTTTTGTACAAGCAAAATAAAAGTACTGCAACAATACTTAATGAAACAATAATTAATCACTGGCTAATATATATTACAGCTAGAGAAAATATATATTTTATAAAAGGATATTATTTAAGTAAACAAGGATATTATTTAAGTAAACATTAAATTTTAAATTTTGTGAAATGCTTACATAAATGTAATTCATTGTTGCGGCTTCGTTCTTCGAGGTAGAATCAATTTGTTACTGTCAACTGGAGAATGAAACCTGTAGGAGACGATGAAAGCATGAAAAGGAGAATAGAGTGAAATAAATTGATGGATAGACAAATGTCAGATAAGTAACTAATATTCTAAACCTATATAGATGTATATTATTTATATCTTGAAGATGCATGAATATGCAATACAAACTCAAAGTTAACATATTTTGCTATCGGCTTTGTGAGCACTATAATTTTAGATGTTGGATTGATTCTTTTCTTTGATTAATGTTTTTGTTCCAGCTTTGGGAACGAAGATATAATGTTTTTCCAAAACTGCTGGGATTAAATCATAACAGAGACCATCCAGCCAACAAAGGCGAGACTGATCCATTCAACAAAAAGAAGACAGATGATTGATCCAGCTAGTGAAGACAAAACCTTTGCTAATGTTTTAGCAAAGGTCTTAGCAAAGGAGCCCGATTACCGTAAGAAAAGACGAAATACTTATAAAAATTAAAATAAGAAATGAAGGAATCTTTGATACTATACATATACATATACTATGTATATGTTATATATACATACTTATTACACTTGTTATATGAGTATTTTATTTTAGGATAGGTTCGCTTTATATAAAAAATATACTCAGACGCGTATTGGATCACGTCGATTCTGTTGAAGGCGATCACTTTCACAAGGCTTAGACTGGAACGTAGTTAAATAGCGAGCAAGCCATCAAGTTGCATCCAGTTCAGTAAATATATTTTCTTTTTCTTCGGTTCTTTTTTTTTTTTTTTTCACTGATATATTTTTTACGGGTACTGATCAGTAACCGTAGAAAATATATCAGTGAAAGAAAAAAAAAGAACCGAAGAAAAAGAAAATATATTTACTGAACTGGATGCAACTTGATGGCTTGCTCGCTATTCAACTACGTTCCAGTCTAAGCCTTGTGAAAGTGATCGCCTTCAACAGAATCGACGTGATCCAATACGCGTCTAAATATATTTTTTATGTAAAGCGAACCTATCCTAAAATAAAATACTCATATAACAAGTGTAATAAGTATGTATATATAACATATACAGTATCAAAGATTTCTTCATTTCTTATTTTAATTTTTATAAGTATTTCGTCTTTTCTTACGGAAATCGGGCTTCTTTTGGTAAGACATTAGCAAAGATTTTGTCTTCACTAGCTGGATCAATCATCTGTCTTGTTTTTGTTGAATGGATCAGTCTCGCCTTTGTTGGCTGGATGGTCTCTGTTATGATTTAATCCCAGCAGTTTTGGGAAAGCATTATATCTTCGTTCTCAAAGTTGGAACAAAAACATTAATCGAAGAAAAGAATCAATCCAACATCTAAAATTATAGTGCTCACAAAGACAGATAGCAAAATATGTTAACTTTGAGTTCGTATTGCATATTCATGCATCTTCAAGATATAAATATTATAGATTTATATAGGTTTAGAATATTAGTTACTTATGTGACATTTGTCTATCCATCAATTTACTTCACTCTATTCTCCTTTTCATGCTTTCATCGTCTCCTACAGGTTTCATTCTCCAGTTGACAGTGACAAATTGATTCTACCTCGAAGAACGAAGCCACAACAGTGAATTACATTTATGTAGGCATTTCACAAAATTTAAAATTTAATATTGTTTTTTTAAATAATATCCTTTTATAAAATATATATTTTCTCTAGCTATAATATATATTGGCCAGTGATTAATTATTGTTTCATTAAGTATTGTTGCAGTACCTTTATTTTGTTTGTACAAAAGTAATAAAATTACAAGGCGCAAGAGTAATTTGTCACTCGCCAATTTATTACAGTACTACTATTAATTTCTTATAAGGATTATTTATCAACAAAAATTTTTTATTTTTATAAGTTTTCTTCTTTTGTTATTATTTTCCTGTTATTATTAACCTTGCAGTTTTATTTATTTTGATTTCAATAACACGTCACAGAGTACTTTACACACGCATGTACACTTATAAGATATTTGTTATTTCGTATATGTGTGTTGTTGTTACTATGGTCGTGAAACTAGTTCTTTGACCACCCAAGTAAAACATAAACGTAATCAGCAATATAAAATTCCAATCTTGCAAC